ATAAAATTATTTTAACCGTGTGTTTGCTATGAAGATTTTGAAGTATGCAAATTTGAGTTGTTTCTTATTTGGAAATTGTGATAGATTCCTCATTTGCTCTGTATACTGATATTGATAGATTCCTTGTATATCTTTTCTTGTTGTTATGTACTGTTGAATCAAGACAGCTTATAGTGACATATCTGTGAGCAACAGATCAGAACTTTGTCCTATCCTGTGCCATCTTCACAATTTCTGACATTACTGCGGTCACTGACTCAGTTAATCCACTGTGTCCAACCACCTGGTTGAGGGTCTTTCTCTCTTGCCATCCTTCCACCTTCCCACACATGATGTCCCTCTCCAAGGAATAGCCTCTTCTAACAACATGCCCAAAGTATTTAAGATACAGTTTTATTATCTTTGCCTTCTAGAAACATTCTGGCCGCACCTTCTTCAAGACAAACCTGTTTTCCTTTTCGCATTCCAGGGGATATTCAGCACTCTTCTTCAACTCCGCAGCTCAAGTGCACCAATTCTTTTGTCATCATCATTAGTCATCATCCACCTTTCAATGGTATAGGAGTGATTTAAAAGACCATGGCCTGAATCAGGTGCACCTTAGTCCTCAAACTGACATTACTGCTCCTCAACAATTTGGAGAGGTGTCTGACTGCAGACTTTCCCAATGCAATACATCTCCTGATTTCCTGACAGCTGGTACCAAATGTGTTGATTGTGGATCCAAGTAAGATGAAGTTGTTGACAATTTCAATCTTTTCTCCATCTATCATGATGTTGTCCATCAGTTCAGTGTTGAAAATTTTTGTTTTCTTAACATTGATATAGACAGGGTGTATCCTTGAGGCACACTCTTCCTGATTTTGAACCATGCAGTGTTTCCCTGCTCCATTCTGAGGAATACTTCCTGGTTCAAGTATAGTTTTTGCATAAGCACAATCAAGTGTTCTGGGATCATCATTGTCCTCAAGGTTAATCACAATTTGTTGTGTGACCCACAGAGGGGGTGTGTGAGGGATGCATCTTGTCTCTATACTTTTTCAAACTATATGTAGAACAGATCATTTGGGAGACTGGGCCTTATGAGGAGGAAAATGGCATCAGGATTGGAGGAAGACTCATTAACAACCAACGTTATGCAGATGATACAACCCTGCTTGCTGAAATTGAGGAGGACCTGAAGCATTTGCTGCAGAAGGTCAAGGACTGTAATCTTCAATATGGATTGAAGCTCAACATCAAGAAGACAAAGATTCTCACCACCGGGCCAATTGTCAGCACCATGATAGAGGGTGAAGAGATTGAGATTATTAACAGTTTGCTCAGCTCTACAATCAACACTCTTGGCATCAGCAGTCAAGAAATCAAAAGATGAATTTCATTAGGTAAATCTGATGTCAGGGACCTTCCCAGAGTACTGAAAATCAACCATGTCAGTTTAGAGACTAAAGTGTGCCTGATCCAGACCATGGTCTTCTGAATTACTTGCTATGCATCAGAGAGCTAGACAATTACTAGGGATGACAGAAGAAGAATCGATGCCTTTGAGTTGTGGTGCTGGAGAAGAGTTTTGAACATGCCATGGACTGTCAAGAAAAAAAAAAAATCTGTCTGTCTTAGAGAGGATAAAACCAGGTTTCTCCTTGGGAGACTAAAATTTTGAAGTTCTGTCTCACATACTTTGGGCATGTGGCCCAAGGGACTGATCTTTGGAGAAGAACATCAAAGTCAGAAGGGTCGTAGGACAGTGCAGGAGAGGAAGACCCTAGATGAGATGGACTGATACAATAACTAGGGCAATGGGGGTAGTTGTGTGTCAGAACCACTGAGACTGGCTCAGGACAGGGTAGGCTTCTGAACTGTTAAACGTAAGGTCACTATGAGTCACAGGCAACATGATAGCACATAACAACAACAACAACAACACTGAGATCCAATCCATATTAAAGATTTCAGCCCTTCTGTAACATAATTAGTTGTTCTTTCTAGCAACCTGAGCCTCTTTTTGATGTTTATTAATACTTTCAGATAGTTCAACCTAGTTGTTGATAACAGTGGGATTGGGGCAAAGACCCCACACTCATTTTGTCCAAGTTTCTAACAGAGAAAAAGTTGGATAACAGAAGTAGGATGTTGTGAAGTCAAGGTGATCTTCTTACCATTAGTGTTTGATGAACAAACTAAAGCCTTGTGATATATAATTGCTGTTGTTACATACCGTCGAGTCAGAATTGATCCTCAACTGACCCTCCAGAGAGTTGTCAGAGGCAGTTAATCCCATGGGAAGAGACTGCCCATCTTTCTCCTGCAGAGCAGCTGGTGGGTTCACACCGTGTGCCTTTGGGATTACAGTACAGCTTCTTACCACAAGGTCACTAGAGCTCCCTGGTGATATACAGTAGGAAGTAGAATGTATTGAGGAAGCATAAAAGCTACATACTTAATTACCAAGGATTTTGGCCAGTGGAACAATGTAAAGAACAACAGTATCAAAATCCAGTACACTAGCTATTGTCTATTGCAATAATCTGTGCAAGCAGTGAACCAACAGAGGGAGCCAAAATAGCATAGATGAAATTTCCAAACACAGGTTTACAGCAGTCCCGTATATTTAATTAATTTCTGCCCTGATATTTATTAATTATTTCCTTCTTCTGGTGGCTGTGGACTTCTGCTGTTACTTTTCTATTTCTCAAAAGAGCTCTGCCATAAAGTGTTTCACAGCTAACTGAAAATTGGCAACTGGAATCCAGTAGCCATCCTACAGGAGAAAGCTGGGCACTCTCCTTCTGTAAGGATTTGCAGCCTCAGTTACCCAGTGAAGGTCACCATGAATTGAAATCTATTAATGAGTAGTGGGTTTGCTTTCCTGTATTGAGAGAGTGTTTTCCCTATGCTCTTGAGTATTTTAGTAGTTTCCAATTTGAGGATATTGCAAGTAGGGCTGATAGTTGTTTTGTTGTTGGGAGCTAAGGGCCAATTGGACAGAAACTATCAATTATTCTATAGGACTTTACCTGAATAATGTCGGGCTCTTTCTCTTCCCTGTCCTACTTACCGTACTCCCTTTCCCATTTCTCTTAGTAGCACTGACATAATAAATTGTTTGCTCATGAATCTTCCTTTCCAGGTCTGCTTCTGTGGAATCTGAGCTAAGAGATTGACTAAAGCCATTTTAATGTAAATATTAAAGAAAACATTCTATTTTGTCCCCTCAAAATCAATGCAAACTTGACTAAGTCATGATTCTCAGGATTATGTAATTAACGTATTTGTGTGATTTGATATAAGTATTCTATGTGTTGGAAATCCACATTTCTGTGGTATTAATGAGGCACGAAACAATTTGTGAAATTAGGTTGTGTCTTGAGTCAATTTCTTTTGTGATATAAAAGGGATTTAGCAATGGAGCATTGGTAGGAGGGACCTACTACCATTTGGGGGGGGATCCATAGGCAAGATGTCTCTTAGAGTGCCTAACTGGGACCCTCTTAGAGCCAAGGGAAGATTGATGCCAAGACACATGGAGGTCTCCAAGAAATACTTAGTCTACAGATCTGTGGCACTGTCCATGGTGGACAGTGTTTGGTGTCACTCCCCAGTTAAAACAAGCTTGGAAGCAGGAGTGGCATCCACTTCCATAAATAACTTGCCTCTGGAAACCATATGAACCTGGAGAAAGGATGAAAGTCACACAAGTGTCGAGGAGTTTCAATCATAGGGTCACTATGAGTCGCCTACGACTTGACAGCACTTAACAACACAGAGAGAGACCAGTTGGCCTATGCTCCCAAGCCTCAGGTGGGTGACTGTAATCTGCGCCCCAAAGCCTGTCTTTAATTGTTTTTGGTGAAATATTCTATTAGCTGATATAGCCCTGGTCTATCCACCTGCCATACAGAGGTAATTTGTGGTCACTGTGAAGCTGAAAACTGTGATACTGACATGTTAAAAGTGATAATGGTTACCCATGGTGGACAGTGTTTTGGTGGTGCTCCCTGCTTAAAATACCCTTGTAAGCAGAAGTGGCATCCACTTCCATAAATAGCTTGCCTCCGGCAACCCTATGAACCTGGAGAAAGGATGAAAGTCACCCAAGTGTCAAGGACTTTCGTTCCTAGGGTCACTATGAGTTGCCTAAAACTCGACAACATTTAACAACAACAGCAGCAGCACTAGATAACCAAGAAAACATTATCAGAGTAAATTGGAAGATGACTATGTCCAAGAGATTATTACTTGTTTCAACTTTCAAAGACTTTAACTATGTTTTATTAATGGCTAAAAAAGATAAAAACCAGATCCACTTTTGATATAAAGTTGTTGTTATTGTTTGCTGTCAAGTTGGAACTAACCCATAGCTGACCCTCCTGTGGGTCTTCAGAGCCAGTTAATCACCTGGGATAAATTTGTCTGTCCTTCTCCCTTGGAGCAGCTGGTGGATTCAAACTACGTGTCTTTGGAATTATAGTACAGCTTCTTACCACTAGTCCACCAGAGCTCCCTTAAATAGAAAGTAGAAGGTGATAAATTATTCCAGAGAGACACTGATGACCAAAGAGGGAGAGAAGAAAAAGAGGTGATGGCTGACCTGAGAACTAAAGAATGAGGAGGAAGTATAAAAATAACAGACACTTCAGACAAACCTAACAATATAAGCACAAGTGTGTATTTTTGAAGAAACAATAATACATGATTTGTATAGGACTCTTACGTTTTCACTATACAGTGATAATTTTATTTTTGACAGATCGTTTATTTCTGATAGCTCAACAAATCCAAGAAAGAAGCTTAAGCTGAGCTGTCAAGGTAGAAATCAATCAACACTAAGAACATTCACTGATTCTCCCAACATAGAATTCCCTGCCCCCGCCCCGTCCCCCCACTCCCCCAGTGAGAGACAATTACTTAAGGAGCTGTGGAGTTGTCATAAAGGAAATAAATCTACTTCTCTACTTTTCTAGGGAGTGTGGTGGAAAGGTGAAGTGGATGTATATGTTCTAATCGATGCTCCTTTTCAAGCCCCGCTCTTTTTCCAGTTGTTCAATCTCCAGTGACAGCTTATACATCTCCAAGGCTGTTTTCACATCCTCAGGGCTTGGAAGATACTGCATGAGGTTTCTGCCTGCTACCACCTGCTCACATCCTTCAGGGACTTCCTACAAGAGACAGACAAAACAACAGTTTTTGAGAGGCTTCTCTTCAACTGTAGCACTGAGAGATTCTTTTGGAGTTCTTCACCAATAGCAGGAAATCGGAGTATTAAGACCTTTCTGGAGATGATGGGTGAAATCCAAAAGATACTTGGTGTCTTGGTGTTCTTCTTAGGTCTGTGTTATGGAAGGGACTGTGTCTTCTGAAAAGAAATGTGCAAGTCCTCACTTCTGTACTTGTAAATGTGACCCAGTTAGAAAATAAAAATTTTCTTTTGTTAATAACATCATAATAACAACAAGTAGAGTGAGTGCTAAATCTAATACTGATGAGGGATGTCCTATATGATGTGCAAGACCAGGAATTGACTGACAGATGGTGATTAATTTGGTGCTTTTGTTTACTTGGTTACTAGTGTCTTTTCAATAGAGAAGAATGGACACAAGTACGTATTTTTAAGGGGAAGACAGATGTCATGTGAAGAGTGTCCACAAGCCAAAGGAACACTGAAGATGACTGGCAGACACCAGAGTCTAGGCTCACACAAGGAGTCAACACAGCCAAGACCCTAATTTTCAGCCTCCAGAAGTGTGTGATTTACTACTTCTGAAAAACCCTACTGAAGGGTCAGCTATGAATTGGTTCCAACTCAATGGCACAAAGCAATAGAAGTGTGACAAATGCATTTATGTTCTTTAAAGCTACCACTTGTGATATTTTCCTGTTATATTAGCTCTAGGTAATTGACACAGGTATCAATTAATAGCTGTGGAAGCAGGAAAAGGACACACTACAGAGTACAACCAGAAGGCTCTTGGGAAACAATTGGGAAGAGAGTTCTGATGACTCTTCCAAAGTGGAACAAATGCACAGCACTTGTTTTAGAAAATATAGTCGTCATGGCTGGGTCACTTGAATTCATCCAGCCCTTCTATTAGAGCGACTTGACCCTTCTTGCTATAAAGCAAGGGAATTAGACCTTGCCTCAGCCAGTTCACCACAGTGCTTCATAGCTGAAAGTGCTGTAAATTATTTGCAGTAAATTATTTCAATAACTCAGAAGTAAGTCTTGACTAAAGTCAGATCTCATTAACATTGTCTGGGACAGGGGAGGCTGCTCTTTTTAAGGTAGGACAGGACACCTGAAATGTGAATTACTTACCCACTCACACATGGGCACTTCTGGGTACCAGGTTCTATTCTCTGTGCAGGTGATATTTTGAATGCCAACTATTTTATAGCCAGGATCACACTGGATAATGACTTTATCACTCTGAACATACTGATTCTTATCCACAGAGAGATTGCCATTTTCTATCTCTGGTTTCAAACATAGAGCTGTAAGAAAGCACAATTTTGATCATTCTTGCGTTTCAGGAAAAGATTACATGATAATATGTATAATTAAATGATGAGAAACACTCATAATAAATTAGTCTCATACTGAGAGTTGTCCTTTGCTTCCACTTGTTTTAGGATAATAAAATGAATAACAAAAGTAATGTTTTCATGCACTCACATCAATATAAGTGCCAATGCTAATGGTTATTACTTTTCCTACATGTCTAAGGTGAAAAAAAGTGAGCTACAGAAGATTTAAATCTAAATTTGCCTAATGCTACACAAGTTTTAGATAAAATGATTGATTGTGCACAAGTATTGAGTTTTCAAAACTATCGTTACTCAAAATGTTGCACTTTGCATGCTTTTAAGTATGTACTTTTTATTCTCCCTTCCTTACTATCCTCCTGTTTTAAGTAGAGACAATAGTGGAAATTTTTCTCTTTAAGTTTCTGTGAACAGAATGATAAAAAAGCCTTGTGAAATTGAAAATATAAGTTTAACCTCAATATCCTAATGTCACCAGGGGCCAGTGGTCAGCCAGAAATTCTTATGAGGTCAACTTCACTATGAATAGGTGTTAGCCTGTATTAGACTCCAGTGGGAAGATCAGATACTTCAAGGATGATTAGAATTTATCCCCAAAAGTTTCTAGTCAAACTTGAGCACGTGCTCAAAATTTTGCTTAGATCCTCATGGATATTCTCAAATAAGCATTTGTATCTCTAGATCCAAAATTAGAACCACATGTCCTTGAAGACTTGATGTGTAACCAAGGAAGCACTACAGAGTGGTATGGAAAGAAACTATGATCTATTTCCTAACTACTCAAGAGTAAGTAACTAGCCATCCATGGGAGAGAAAAAAAAAGGATATTTACTTTTACACCATAATCAGTAATTCCAGATACAGTGGATATATCAATGTTAAGGATAAAGCTAGCTTTAGAAAGTAACATAAAAGAATATCTTTGTGACCTTGTTGTAGGAAAATATATTTAAGCAGCATGCAAAAAAGCTCCATTCATCAAGGGAAAGATTGATAAATTGAACTAAACAAAAATATGGAATTTTTGTTCAACACAATTAAGACTTTCCTACATTACTGGTAGATGTGTACATTTTTACAAACCCTTTTAAATAAAATTTTGCATTGTCTACTCAAGGTGAATATGTGTTAACCTGATGGAACAGAAACTCAATCATTCCCAACAGAAACACATACATATTAGTACCAAGAAACAAGTCCAACCATTGTTTAATCATCTACAACACGAAAACCTCAAACTTTACCGATACCAGAATGGATATATAGCACATGATATGTTCATCCAGTGGGATATCATACCACAATGAAAATGAGTAAATTATAAATACCTGCAAGAAGATAGATTCTTTCAAAAACATAACATTGCGTAAAGAAGGCAGGCACAAATACAAGATTTTCTTTAGTTCTAAACAAGCCTGTGGCTGTGATGATGACCACAAAGTGTACGTCTCATCCAGTGTGTTTTGAGAAAGATGAGCTATCTATCATTCATTTCTAGTTTATGCTAAACTTACCATTAGAGTGTCCAAGCAACTTCCTCTAATAGTATCTTCTCTAGAACTTCTTAAAATTTTTTATATTTCTTTTACCTTGGTTTGCTCACAAGGTTTACATGCATTGTGCTTCACACTATTCTTTATTCACATTGTGTTTTATGCAATCATTCACATGCAGTATGTTTATAAAATTAATCACCATTGGAGAAAAAACTCAAACTAACCTGTGGTTTAAGAATTCAGAAGCATTACCCCTTTAGGAAGGAAAATCAAGGAATAACTGGGAGAGGACACCTAGAACATTGCTAGTATGCTTCCTGGTCTCCGTGACATCAAAGGTTTGTATGCAGTTTTGTCATATTTTATTAATTTAAACTCCCACTGTAACATTTAATTAATCCTGGAAAGATATGTACTGATATCAATGGTTAATTTAAGGGTGATAAACTATGATCATTCACACTTGATAAATGTTGTATAATGTGCATGAATTCAGTACATAAGCCGGTAAGTATATTGTAAGCATCAACTTCCTAAGGTCTGCCTCTGGCTGAGAGCACACTCGAATGTTCTACCTTCTTAACAAAGGCTGTATCTGTGAAGCTGCAATTACCTTTACACTGAGGAGCTGAGGATGACCAGACGGAACGTGTGCAGGAGATTTTACTCCTTCCAACCAGAACGTAGCCCGTGTCACATTTATACTGCACCGTAGTGGTAAAGGAGAGAAATGAGCTCACATCTTTATAGGATCCATGAGCAATCCTTGGAGGCGTTTTGCAATCTTGAGTGGGGAGAGAGAAGAACAGAAGAGAGTGGTCCAGGGTTTCACTTAATGAACTATTCCAAGTGAAGGACCCTTCCCAATGAACCAAACTAGCTCATTAAATTGTATATTCATAAAGTATGGTTGCACCATTCTTAAATTTTTGCACCGTTCATGAGTTTTTGGTGCAAAGGCATTAATAAAGTTACAGGAGTCACTCTGAAACAAAATCAGATTCTGTAATCATGAGGTGAAACAAAAATTAAGTTTACAAATGAATTTTTTAAAAGCTGGCAATTCCTCTTCAATGATTTAGATCCTCCCAGAAGAGCTGTGGGTGAGCATTAATGTCACTGGTAAGTATGTTGGTTTTTTCATGAACACGAGAGCCTACTATTTGGTCCTAAAAACCTTCTGAGGTCCCAACTCTTCTCACTATTTCTTAGGTTTTGGAATTGATGGAAAACCTCATAAGCAGTTCCTTACTTCACCTCTGCCTTGCATGCGGACTTCAGAGCTATAAAATAGCCCAGTGGTAGATGGAATTTGGTCCACGACTTAAGAGCAATAAATGACATAGTTGAGCCTCTACATCTTGTGGTTCCTAACCTTTATACTATAATAGACAAAGTGCTAGTCAGCAGGCCTTTTATTTTAAGAACTACCTTCCCTCTATAACTTGATTTGTGTCACTGTTAGAACCTCTTCTTGGAATATTATTGCTTTTAATTTTTTACTCATGTACTTTTAACTTGTTAGTTAAATTTGTGTCTTCTAGGCTGCAATGGTTCATGACGCATCTTCAAGGATATGAACATGTACGGCTAAGCACAACTGATAACGGTGCATCTAAATTCCAAAATCAATCTCCACAATAGTCTATGTGTTTCCTATTGCCAAAGGGCCCTTTAGAGTAGTGAGAGAAGATCTTCACCCTGAAACCTACAGTGTCCTTTTTCAGCAGGAAGTAGCTAAGAGAATATGCCATCCCCTTTTCCTTATGATTCAGGGTGATGTCTCTCTCAGGGAGGAGTGATAGGGAATGGCAAAGGACACACTGACAAAGGAGATTAATCAGAACTGGCTTTGACAAGCACTGTGGCAATGGGACAATTAAAACAAACTTTCAAGGGGAGAAAAAAAGAGGAACGAATGGGGGGGGAGGGTAGAGAAAATAGTGCAATAGTGAATGAATAGAAACCCAAAATCTCTGTAAATGTTCATTAAAATTAATGAAATTTAATTAAAAAAGAAAAAATTTAACCCATCAACAAACAAACAACAACAAAAAGTTGGCAATTCAATGAGAAAATGGCCATGAACCTTGAACAGCCAGAGAGTTTTCTAAATCAGCCACATTAATAATGAGCAAACATCTTAGCAGGTACTCAACCCCATGAAACTCGGGAAATGACACCCTTTGATAGAAAGTTGATTTTGATTCATGGTAATCTCATGTGCAAGCCTGGAAGCAGGAGTGGCATCCACTTCCGAAATGGCTTGCCTCCGGAAACTCTATAAACGAACAGTGCTCAGGCCTTTCGGCTGTGAGTCGTCTACGACTTGACGGCACCAAACAACAACAACAGTTTCATGTGCCGCAGGGTAAAACCTGCGTTCTGTTGGGCTTTTGGGGCTGTAATATGTACAAAAGGATCCCTAGTGGGACAAGAGATAACTCTCAGCTGCTGAATCTAAAAGTGTAGTAAGAATTCAGAAGGAACAATGGCTGAAGTAAGTGCACAGATGGAGAGAATGATTAAGCACAGCTAGCTGAAAGGTTGGCAGTTCAACCCCCGAGTGACACGTCAGGAGATAGCTTTGCTGACCTGCTTCTATAATATCACACCCTTAAACACCCCATGAAATATTTCTACTCTGCACTCATGGGTTGTTGTTAGTTAAGATTGACTAGACAGCAGTTAACAATAATTCTTCAAGAATTCATATCCTTTTAATGTGATCTTCCAAATAAAGATGATGCATTAATAATATGACCATGTTTTTCCTGTTCCCACTCTAAGTGATGAAGAAAAATGACATGCAGGCTTTTATACTCATCTGCTAGCTCACAAAAGGTCATTAGGCTATTTGTTTTAGGTCAGGATAATCCTTGTGAGCTATCTAAAATCTCTTGTTTTGATGCTATGGTAACAATGTCAAGGGAATATACTTATAAGTATTTTCATTGTATTAGATTACTCTCTTAGACAAGAAGCAATGTCTCTACTGAAAGAGAAAAATAGGACTTTGTTAAGAGTATATTTCCAATTAAATAACAAGAATTACTGTCATTTCCACAGTCCTTGAATAATCCTGTCAAATTCTTTCAAACGCTTTCATTACTCATTGATTTGCCAACCCCACACCCCCGAAACCCACATTTCAACATTTCACATTTCTATAATGGTCTACAGTTTAATAGATTTTACATTAATGATCTTAGATGATTTTTTTCTTTAGTAGTAAAAAAAATCCTTTTTTCTAATTAGTAATTAAGATTGTAGATGGTAAAATTAAACTCATTTTAAAAATAGCTGTGCTTTATAATTTAGGACCACCCATTTAAATATAATACACTGATTGAAAAATTAAAGACTATTTCTTGTTAAAAAATATCACAAGAACTTTTACATCTGAATATTATTGTAGTCATAGTAACAATCTATATTTGAAAGAATTTGAATTATTGTTAATATTTTTAAATGCTTTATTTCATTAAGAATGAAGTTCACAGTACTCTCTAGAAATGATTTGTAATTACCACCATTTGCTTAATTAATTCTTCATCAAGGATTTTCTCCATACCATGGAGAATCTGTACTCATCTCCACAAGCATTGTACTTACCTCCCTGGGCTGATGGACACTGCAGTAGGGCTAAGATCCCAAAGAGGCAGAGCGCTGGGAAACCACTGTGCATCATTGGGGACATGGCACAGAGTCTCAGAGATGTAGTTTTTTTGCACATCCAGAATCAAGACGAACAAAAGTCTTCTTAGAAATAATGTAAATGACGCCCTTGCTGAGGATCTAAGTCTTGGCAATGAGCCACTTAAGGGGAGGGGCATGGAGGTTAGTTAGAAGACAAGATTCTGGACACAAACCTGACAAAAGTGAGTTTATAGGGGCCTCTTCTTTGGCAGAATCTGGAACTCAAGACAAGACTGGTCCAAAATTTTGGGCATGTACAATTATAATTTAAGACTTACATCTCATTGTTCAGATGGGGCACGTGCTAAGTTCCTTTCTGAATATATGCATAATTCTTCTCTTACTAAACAAGAGCAGAAGGCAAAAGGCACTATAGTTCATGTAGCCTTTGGCACAGTCCGTGAGGTGGACTATGCAAGGATCATAATTTATAGCAAAAGAAAAAAGTCCTAGGTGAGAAGTAATCCATGCCTAGAGAGTCGTGCAGTGCATGAACCTTGGAGCTCTCTCATCCCAAGCTCATATGATATATGACTAGTGTCATCAGTTGTTGTGTGCCGTCAAGTTGGAACCCATAGCTGACCCTCCAGCTGATTCTCAGAACCTGTAAATCACACAGGAGGAAATTACCTATCCTTCTTCCATGAGCAGCTGGTGAATTTGAACCACTTGCCTTTGGGATGACAGCACAGCTGCTTTTTTTTTTTTTCCTTCCATCAGAGCATTTATTCATGAAGCAATGTATCCAGAAATGTCAGATTCAACACCAAAGCTGTCACAAACTCAAATCAGAAACAGCACAGCTTCTTAACCACTAGATCATCACAGCTCTGTAATTAGAGATATCACTTTCCCATGGGAACTCATATCAGTTAGAGGTATGATTTTCTCATCAATGACTAGATTTTTAAGAACTCTGGAAAGGTAAATTTATATTCTAGACTGCTCACAGGCTAGCCATAATATAGTAATACAAATATCAAAGTGCAAAAAAATAAAAAATCCTATCTACTAGAAACAAAAAGTATTCTTTTAAATACTTAAGTGGAATTTTCTTCCTAAATTTCTGAGGTTTTCTTTTTTTAAAAAAAAGTATTTTTATTGATTTTCATCTAGTAATCCCTTTACATTTTATTTCATTCATATACATTGTGTTTTACACAATCTTTAATTTCCATTGTATTTCATGCACTCATTCTTACACATTCTATTTTACATTTTTTAAATTGGTTTGTTTACAAAGTTTATCCACATGGTATTTCACACTTTTTTTAATTTTATTTTAATAATTTTAATGAACATTTACAGAGATTTTGGATTTCCATTCATTCATTGTTGCACTTTTCTCCCTGCCCAGCCCTCCCCTCCCATAGTTTGCTCTTCTCTTTGAAAAAGTAGAAGAAAAATTCTTTCTTTGGTATGCAATCCCCCCATACCCTTCCCACCGCCCCAGGTACACTCTACTATGCAACCTTAATTCTGGACTCTCAAATATTGCTTTTAAATTATTCTCTCCCTCATCTGAGTTTTTTTTAGAAGTTTATATGAGTGAAAAGTTTACAAATCATATTTTCGATCTGTTCGTACATACACAGTTTACTTTCTGATGTTAATTGTAATTTATTAATGTAATTAATTCATTACAATGGCTGATAAAAACTTTACATTGTCTTTTCTTTTACCTAAATTATTTCTTGATTTTTACTTCCATCTCCACTCTGTGAATAAACAACTACTTATATTTTTATAATGGTGGTTTATATCATAATCCTTTTGTTACTGACTTATATTGTTTACCATATTGTCCTCTAGAAGCATCCATGGTATGCTGAGTTTCATGATTTCTTTATTGTTTTATGGTTTTGCATAGTACTCTATTGTATTAATTTACCAGTTTCTTTATCCTTCATCCACTGGTAGAGACTTGGGTTGTTTCCATCTCCATAACATGATAAACAATGCTGCAAAGAACATGGATGTGCCTACATCTGTTCATGTGACAGCTTTTATGTCTTTGATATTTATGCCTAGTAAATGGTAATTTACAAATGAATTGCTTCTGCATACTGCGTAGTACTCCATTGTGTGAATGCACCATAATTTCTCAATCCATTCCATTGTGTTTGGGCATTTGGGCTATTTTTTAAAATTAATTTCAATGAAAATTTACAGAGATTTTGGATTTCCATTGATTCATTGTTGCACTTTTCTCCCTCTCCCCTCCCCCCAGTTTGCTCTTCTCTTTGAAAAGTCAGAGAAAAATTCCTTCATTGGTACACAATCCTTCCTGCCCCCCGCCCCACCCCAAGTACACTCAACTAGGCAACTTCGTTCTGGACTCTTGTGATAACCATAATACCCTATCATATATCTCATTTAACCTGTTCTCTCCCTCATCTGCTTCAATGCAGTATGCATAATTTATCCGGTTTTTCTCATTCTTATCCCAGCCCTGATGTCAGTCCCATTCTACAACAGTGGCATTATGCAGTGTTTGTCCTTTTGTGACTGAGATATTTCACTCAGCATAATGTCTTCCAGGGTCACCCATTTTGAATAATTTGCATGAGTTCCTTGTTTTTCAACACAGCATAGTATTCCATTGTATGAATATACCACAGCTTTTCTAACCATTTGTTTGTTGATGGGCACTTAGGTTGTTTCCAACTCCTTGCTATTGTGAACAAAGCTGCAATAAACATGGGTGTGCATATATCTTTTTGGATGGTAGTTATGGTCTCTTTAAGGTATATTCCCCTTAGTGGAATTGCTGGGTCAAATGGTATTTCTATTTGCAACTTTTTGAGAAAGCGCCATACTGCTTTCCACAGTGGTTGTACCCTTTTACACTTCCATGAACAGTGAATTTGGGCTATTTTTATGCTCTTGAGATGGTGAATAATGCTACTATGAACATTGGCATGTTCATAGCAAGAAGTCTCTGTTTGTACCTCTGTTCTCACTTTCTCAGGGTATATTCCAAGCAGTGGAATAACTGGGTCATAAGAATTTGCTATGTTCAGCTTTTGGAGGAAATGCCAAACTGCCTTCCAGTTGTTGAACTGGAATGTTGTAATGAGTTGTACCATTTTACAATTTCACCAACAATGTGATCTAACTCAACACTTTCATCAATAGAACAAGAACAATAATATAAATCAACAGCCTCTAAAAGAAAGGAAATTATAAGGATAAGAGCTGAAATCAGTGAGATAGAAAACAGAAAAGCAATTGAAACCATCAATAAGACTAGGCGCTGGTTTTTCTAAAGGATCAATAAAAACAACAAGCCACCGGCAAACTTAACAAAAGAAAAAAGGAGAAGATACAAATAACTCAATTAAGGAATGATAGAGGTTATATCACAACAGAACTAGAGGAAATTTAGTTGATAATTTGGAATATTAGTTTGCTTGGCTCCACAGTCAACACTCTTGGCATGAACAGCCAAGAAATTAAAAGATGCATTGCAATGGGAATGTCTGCTGTTAGGGACCTCTCCAAAGTACTGAAGAGCAATAGTGTTACTCTGGAGACTAAGGGGCACCTGATACAGGCCATGATCTTTGCAATCACTTGCTGTGTATCAGAGAGTTATGACTAGGGAGGATAGAAGGAGAAGTGGTGTTTTTGAGCTGTGATATTGGAGAAGAGTATTGAATATACCGTGGTCTGCTAAGAAAACAAACCTATTTAGCCTGAAGAAGGTTAAACCAGGCTGCTCCTTGGAGGCAAAGATTCTGAAGCTTCATCTGACATACTTTGAACATGTTGCAAGAAGGGGCCAGTCCTTGGAGAAGAACATCATGCTTGGGAGGGTAGAGGAATAGCACAGGAGAGGAAGATCCTCTATGAGGTGGATTGATTCAGTTCTGGGGTGGTGGTGTTGAGGGTGTTGGCAACAGTGATATTGGCACAGAATAGAGCAGGGTTTAGGGCTGTTGTACATTGAGTCACTGTGAGTAGCAGGCACATAACAACAACATACTTGGATAAATTTGAAACTTAGAGGAAATGGACAAATTCATTGAAACTCATGCCTACCCAGATTTACCTGATCAGAGGTAAAATACTTGAACACAAAAGAAGAAACTGAGCTGGTCATACAAAGACTCCCCTACTTAAAAAGTTCTGGACCAGATGCCTTTACATCTGAATTCTACCAAACATTCGGACAAGACTTATCACCAATGCTACTTATTTCAAAATATAGAAAAAGAAGGAATGTCTCCCAGAGAGATTTTATGATTATTTATTGTTATTAGTGGCCATGTGTTGTTTCCAACTCATGCAACCGAATCAAGCATTGTCTGAATGAACTATCAGAATGTACTATCATCAAGTCAGTATATGCTTGTTCACTGTGGGAAGTATTGGGTAGTGGCTCCCAACGCAGGAGACTCATTTTCCAGCACTGCAATAGAAAGCATTCTCTTGTGATCCATAACATTGGTACTGGTTCATTTTCAGAAGTAGATAAATAGGTCTTTATTGTAACCTATCTTAGTCTGGAAAAGATGGGAAATCTCATATTGCATGATGTACAATCTCTGAAAACCCACTGGACATTCAGCTGTGAGCTGATTCCGACCCAAGGAAAATGATAGTGAGTGAGTCTTAGTCCGGGGCTTTGCTAAAACTCTCTCACCATTAGGATTTGGCTGATGTTTAAGGTACTAGTTGCATAGCTCCCAGCATCACAGCAACACACAAGTCGTCATGTCTGACAAATTGACAGACTGGGTGTGAATTCTGATGCAGGTAAGACATGAAATGACTCCCTGCGATAATGACTCTAGTCTTGTATATACAGCACACACGCATAATCACTGATGTGTAAAGGGCTATAATAACGAAATAAAAATAAAGGAAGATATATTAAGAATTTAAGAATATCTGAATGGTGCTGAATCGGGTGAAACCAAGGATTTTGTCTTTGAGCACTAAAAGACAAGTTGTAGAAAAACACATTTGTCATCCTTCATGGCCAATTAACCCTACAAAAAGATTA